ATATATATATATATATATATAAAAAAAAAAAAAAAAAAAAAAAAACCTTTAGTGTGAGAAAAAGATGCGGATTGAGTGTGTGACTTGAAGGAATGAAATCAAAATACGTGGCCTGGCTAACTAATGAATGATTATTTGTTGTAAAATTCTTATCAATGCAATAAGTCTAGCTGCCAGTTTGGCCGCCAGTTTTGATTTTATTCCTTTAAGTCGCACACTCAATCCATTTTTTGCCGCACCTTTTTTCACAATTAGGTGTTGTTGATTAGATAGTAAGCTTACAGAAACTGAAAGAGCGAATAATCATGAAAGGTGTTTGTCTGTTAATATTTTCTACTTTACTAAATCTGAAGTTGTTGTTATTGTTTTGTTGTTTTTTTTTAATACTTAAGCTGCGTCGAATTATAAGTTGCGTTCGTAAGAAGATAAACAGGACAGCGCTGAGTTTTGGAATGCAATTATTAGTATGAACCCGGACTTTACGAGATCCGGCTGACAGGACCATTTTGAAGAGGATTTTGCTTAGTTTAACGAACTTTGAATGCGCGTTTTTTTTTATCCGTAAGTAACGCACAGACTTTGCCATGGAAGATAAAGTGGTGTATACCTGCCACTTTCCTTGTTAACTTTTTGTGTGTGTCTGTCTGTCTGTTGTTACTGCTGTGGAAACTGAAGAAATGGCTACAAAGCCATTTATATGCTCTTCAACTTACCACAAATTCATGAAACTTTATCAAAACCTTTAGTTTTAACATTTTCTAAAACTGGAAAGCGCTTTTAATTAATTAAACTCTTGTAATACACGTATTTCGTATTAAATAATACAACTTAAAATACCAATAGTATAAAATGTAAGCTATCAATGAAATTATGAAAGAATCTTAACTCGGAAATGTAACGAAACTGCACTTTATAAAACTTGTCCCTAAAATGAAGTAGGGCCAGATTAAAACATTACAATGGTTTCTACAGTACCTTGTATTGTAATTTTTTATTTTATATATGAATGTTTGTTTTCTCATTTAATAAACAACCTTTCAAAAACTCTTAAAAAGGGGGGTGTACTAAACTCACTTGATCTCTAAACACCCTAATACCGAACATGTCTGTGAAATTGAACGTGCACATTCCAAAGACGAAACAACGAACTTGGTAACGCTGTTTACAGAAAGAAAGGTTCTACTGTTGTATTAAACGACACAGCCTATAGAAACTCGACTGGCTGCGTTCTCTGTTGTATTGTTTAATGTCTGCCCAAAGTTGTAGGACGACAGATGCCGACCCTCTGGCAGAAAACTTGTTATTCTTTGATACACGGAACCAGGTTTCATTCGCCCGGGCCTCTGGGCAGTTGCCCCCCTCCCCTATCTAACAGACTGTTACAGGCCGCATTCACAGG